TAAGGGGCCAATAGTGCAGCTGGAGGTGACAGGAACGCACCAGCCACCCTTGCTTTCCCCTGACCATGGTCCTACCTCATGTCAATGACACCAGCATGTCGCCAGTTAGGCAGACAGTAAGTTAGTGATGGATTCCGAATCCCTCCTTTTCTGCAGTCCAGGAGAAATTGGGAGAGAAGCCACTTTCTGAGGTTTGTAAAAGTCCAGCTACATGGGCTTTCTTCCCTTCTTAGCCTGGCCTGGTGTGATGAGCCCTCAATGGCCCTTGCACACTTTCTTCACGGTGTATTGTTTTTAAAGGGACGCCAGAAGCCTTCTATCTCCCCACCTTCAGCTTTGGGGTGGCCTCATCAGGGACAACTGGAAGGCCAACGTTGGCTCTTCCACGTCCATTTGTGGACAACTGGATGGCCCACATGTACACTCCAGTACAGCAGGGCCCAGTGAGTCCTTGTCCTTGGCCTCTTTGAAATTTAAAGGGCACTCTGGAGCTCAGACCCCAAAGTGAGCAAGTCATGCCTGACTAATCTAACTGCCTTCTATGACGAGATAACTGGCTCTGTGGATGAAGGGAAAGCAGTGGACGTGTTGTTCCTTGACTTTAGCAAAGCTTTTGACACAGTCTCCCACAATATTCTTGCCAGCAAGTTAAAGAAGTATGGGCTGGATGGACTATAAGGTGGATAGAAAGCTGGCTAGCTTGTCGGGCTCAAAGGGTAGTGATCAATGGCTCCATGTCTAGTTGGCAGCCAGTATCAAGTGGAGTGCCCCAGGGGTCGGTACTGGGGGCCGGTTTTGTTCAATATCTTCATAAATGATCTGGAGGATGGTGTGGATTGCACCCTCAGCAAGTTTGCAGATGACACTAAACTGGGAGGAGTGGTAGATACGCGGGAGGGTAGGGATAGGATACAGAGGGACCTAGACAAATTGGAGGATTGGGCCAAAAGAAATCTGATGAGGTTCAACAAGGACAAGTGCAGAGTCCTGCACTTAGGACGGAAGAATCCAATGCACCCCTACAGACTAGGGACCGAATGGCTCGGCAGCAGTTCTGCAGAAAAGGACCTAGGGGTTACAGTGGACGAGAAGTTGGATATGAGTCAACAGTGTGCCCTTGTTGCCAAGAAGGCCAATGGCATTTTGGGATGTATAAGTAGGGGCATTGCCAGCAGATCGAGGGACGTGATTGTTCCCCTCTATTCGACATTGGTGAGGCCTCATCTGGAGTACTGTGTCCAGTTTTGGGCCCCAAACTACAGGAAGGATGTGGAAAAATGGGAAAGAGTCCAACGGAGGGCAACAAAAATGATTAGGGGACTGGAACACATGATTTATGAGGAGAGGCTGAGGGGAACTGGGGATGTTTAGTCTTCAGAAGAGAAGAACAAGGGGGGATTTGATAGCGGCTTTCAACTACCTGAAAGGGGGTTCCAAAGACGATGGCTCTAGACTGTTCTCAGTGGTAGCAGATGACAGAACAAGGAGTAATGGTCTCAAGTTGCAGTGGGGGAGATTTAGGTTGGATATTAGGAAAAACTTTTTCACTATAAGGGTGGTGAAACACTGGAATGTGTTACCTAGGGAGGTGGTGGAATCTCCTTCCCTAGAAGTTTTTAAGGTCAAGCTTGACAAAGTCCTGGCTGGGATGATTTAGTCGGGGATTGGTCCTGCTTTGAGCAGGGGGTTGGTCTAGATGACCTCCTGAGGTCCCTTCCAACCGTGATATTCTATGATTCTATGTGAGCTGCCATATAGTGAAATCCTTGCCTCCATTCACCAGCAAGCCCTTAACCTACCTTGAGGCTCGGAAGAAGCTGGGGCAGCTTGGGAAGGGCGATGGAGCTGGAGGCTTATGAGGGAGAGTTGCAGAGCTTGGGGTTGGGGGGAACCTCAAATATTTAAGTTATTCTGACCAGTTTCAGGTCTATATCCAAAATGTAGGGCACTTATTGGGACTGACCCTAAGCTCACCTGTGCTGATCATGACTTGTTAGCCTCCTTCCTTCCCCATCACTGCTTTCTTCTGCATGCTCTACCACTGGCTCTGGTGATTGTTTTCCTGGGAAAGGTAAAACCTGTAGTTTGGTAGCCTCTATGGCTTCTGATTCAAAAGTGACTACATGAGTGGACCTGGGTTGTGTACTGATGTATTTGCAAATGTTTGTGTATGTAACTTCCGCCTTATATGCCTTATGTCAATGAGAGAAACAGGCCACTACTCACAATCGGCCAGAGGTGCATACTGGAGGAGATGGATCCTTGTAATATATCTGCTTTTTGGCTCTCTGTTGTCTCTGTTATCACACTGTTGTCTGATACTTCCCATCCCTCACTTGCTTTCGGCGTAAATTCTGAGGACTAGTTGTGTGGGCTGCAATACTTTAGATGCCAGTGTAATTGAAGTGTGCAGTGTCTGTAGCTGTGCTGGTCCCAGGACATTAGAGCGACAAGGTGGGTGAGGTTAAATCTTTTTTGTGGACCAGCTTCTGTTGGTGAGAGAGACAAGCTTTAGAGCTAGACAAAAGCTGGTCTCTCTCACCAGCAGAAGTTGGTCCAATAAAAGATATTACCTCACCCACCTTGTCTCTCTAACGTAGTTGAAAGGCATGAACATTAGCGTTGCAAATGACAGGCAGTGACTAGCTGGACCTCTGGCGCAAGCAGTTCTTTTTTTGTGAACAGGTTTGGGTGTATCATTAACTGGAAACCCTTTCCCAGTGAATACTAACTGCAGCTTGCACAGAGGCCACAATGTGAGCATTCCAGCTCCTTTCTGAAGTACTGCTTGGGGACCGAAGACAATCATTGGCAGAAGACAATTAAGAAGCACATGTTTCCGGGGGGGGGGAGGGAGGGGAGCGCCCTCCACCCCCCCACATCTAATAATGGGAAAGAAGGGTGCTCGCTAATGCTCACATTTGAATTTTAACTGCCAACCAGGGTCCCGACCTATGGACCAGGTTCAGAGGTGGTGTAGATGGCTTTGTAAATTACACATCAATAAGTTAGTGGGAGGGGGCTGTACGTTGGCCAGATTCAGAACTGCTGTGCCTTCAGACAACGCGGTTGTGGTGCGGAATCCACTCTCACTGCGTCCGAATTTGATTTCAAAAGAGAATTTCCCATGAAAGAAACACTGTCCTATGTTATATTTTATTCTTTGGTCGGCTAAGTTAAACAATGACAGAGAAAAATAAAGGTTCTTCCCCCTGCCCCCCCGCCCCCAACTTCCAGCTTTGTTTCACCCTCTCCAGCCCTTTAATTGGACTTTGGAGAGGGTGAAAATACCAATACCTGAGAATACGGATTTTTTAAAAAATTGTTACTTTCGTCTGGAATCCCCAGTTTGAAATGATGGCGGCGGCGGTGTGGAAGGTGACTGGCTTGGTTTGTTACAGTAAAGCTGTGTTGTACTTTAGATTACTGATTAACCAACAGCAATGGGGCTCTGCCTTGACCTTTTTTCATTTGAGCAAATATACTCTTCCCTGCCACTTGTAAACAGCAGATTCTGGTAACTGAGTCACGTACTCTTCACACCGTCCAGGTTAGTTTTCTGTGCATCTCTGCCAAGGGTTTTAGGCATGTTGGGTTTGCCTGACTCAGTAAAGCCATTATTTAAGATTATTAGTAGTAATAGTAGCAATAATACCACCACTCCTATGGCACTAGAGATCTGAGGGCCTCCAAGCACTTTGCAAGCATTAATTAAAGAAACCTCACAGTACCCCATGAAGTAGGTAGTGACTGTTATCCCCATTTTAGAGCAGGAGAAGAGAGGTGTTAGCTCAGAAAAATTCCAGGAGCGTGGAAGGGGGCGGACGAAGTTGTGCCAGCTTCCCCACTTCTGCCTCTCTGCTGAGACCATGACTGCTCATGAGGGTTAGCTTGCCAGTCCCAGCCTAGAGGGGGACAAGGAGGTGGCAGACCAGTCCTATCCCATGGAGCAGTGAGGACAGTGGGCCTGGGGGAAGGCATTGAACTAGTGGCTGGCCTTAGCAGGGATTGGGGCCTGGCTCACTCTGTGCCCATCTCTGGCCCAGGCTCTCATTGCTGCTGTTTCCTGGCTGGTTGGCAGGTGGGGACAGGGGTGCCAGGGGCTGTTCAATACAATCTGCCACCCCTCCTCCTCATAGACCTAGAGTGGCATATTTGGTCTGGCTGCCCTTCCATCACGAGCAAGTGGTGTTGCAATCTGGCACATGGAGTGGCAATGCTATTCCCTCACATTTGGCCTGGCTGCCCCCTATCGCAAAGGCAGGGTGGCCAGGCCAAATGTGCCACCCAAGGCTGCTTCCTAAAAGTTGTGGGGGCAGGTCTGGGGGGAGTCAGCTTGCCCCCCAACTACAGTAAATGACAGCCCTTGTGGACAACAGAAAGGTTAAGGTCATTTGCAGAAGTGGCCCTTGGGTTTTGTGTTACTTAGTTGTTGGGCGTTGGTTTGGGGTCTGATTTGCAGAGTTGCTGAGCTCATACAGCTCCAGCAGAAGTCAATGGGAGTGATGGGTGCTTAGCACCTCGAAAAAAAACAAAAACAGGCCCAAAGTCTGGGCACCCAGCCTGGCCATGTTAGAAAACTGTGGCCTGAGGACAAAATTGCCCAAGAGGTCAATGGGAGAGATGGGAACTGCACCACAGAGTTTTAGGAGCCTAGCCAAAACCACTAGAGGCAAAGGGAGTTTTTCCATTGACTTCAGTGAGTTTTGGATTAGACTTATAATGGGATTTTCAAACGTACCTAGGCACCTAGCTCCCATTGAAATTGGTGGACAGGAGGCCCCTCATCACTTTTGAAAACCCCGCTGTTATTGATTCTCAGTACAGCCGAAGAACTGACAGTCTGTCAAGAAGCTGTGTACACCTTGATTGTGGTCCTATGGACACCAACCCCTCAGTCAGGTTTTATGGTAAATCACACTGCATGGGGGAGTCAGACTACTGCAAACACAAAATAAGGAACCTCTTTGCAGCTGACTGCACTAAGGTACATTTCCTACCTGCTCCTTTATTGTCTCTGCCTTCATTCTCCTCACTTTAAAGCTTCGCAGCTGTCAGCTGTTTGTGGTGGCTGAAATCTGTCAGGGTGGTTGTAGCATACATCTTAGCTGAAGGTTGGTTTATCCTGCAGTTAACTATTCCCTAATTATCATTCTGACGCATCAGCCACTCAGTAAACAAGGTGAAAGTTTCACATAGATTATTAACCAGTCAATATCATCTGAGATTCTTCATGGTGAAGGGTAATTATTTGCATTAATTACAGATTCCTTGCGGGTAGATTATGTCACTGTATATTCTGGGTTGGATGTACTATAATGGGTGAACGACTTGTTTTTCTTGTTTCTTTGATTTATTCAAAAAATCTTTCCCCTTGTAGACACACACTTCTCCCCCAAACCAAACCTGATGTTGTATTTAGAGGAAGGATGTCCAGTGGTTAGAAAACTAATCTGGGAATTGGGAGTCTTGAGTTGAATTCCTCAAGTTGCCACACTCTTCTGTAGGAATGTCGACACTGCACACTAAGCCTGGGTGTGTGGGGCCTGGGTTTGTGGCCTTGATGTTTTCAAGCCCATGCCTGAGTGTCCACAATGCAATGTAAACCTGGGTTTACAATTGCTGGACCCAAGTCTCACAACCGTGCTCATGTGTCCACACTGCACTACAAAGACTTTTGGACTTGGGTCTATTGTTTGCCTTGTGCCCACACAGCAAAATGACAGGGTTTGGACCAGAGTCACAGCAGGGCGGCCCCTCGCCCCTTACAGAGTCCTAGGAGCTGCATACTTACAGACCCACATCAGATGAATGTGTGTGTGGATGGAAGGAGCTTTGGGCTCAAACCTGAGATAGAGCCTGTGCTTAGTGTTCACTGTCCTCATACCCAGTCACCTTGGGCAAGTCCCATAGCCTCTCTGTGCCTCAATTCCCCCTCTATAACATCAGGATAATAGTACCCTATACACAAAGATGTGAGGATAAATACATTAAAGATTGTGAGGCTCTCCCATACTAGTGTGATGGGGTGGGGTCATTGATCAATATGGTGAGAACTTTGAAACCAAAATAGAAACACTTTCTCCCCTCACTGACCCCCCCCCCAAATTCCCCCACCCCAAAAAGTTCTCATTGTAATACCTTGCAGTTGAATATAGCCACTTTCATCCAAGTGGATTAGTGAAGATATTTGTAGTTTTTAAAAGACTCGGCTTAACTAAGTAGCTGTGAACTATCTGAGTTAGTGAAATTTCTGAGCAGCATGCTATGATTTTCAGAAACTCCTGCTTGGTTGAGAGTCCTCCTCCCCTTCTGCTGAGTGTGACTGGGATCCAATGAGTAACCCAAATCGCCAACTTTATTTAAATGGTAATTTATGCTGTCCTATGAAATAGGTTCTCAAACACTGGAGGACATAAAACTATCTTGATTGTCAACAATAAATCCCAACTTCTCTCCTGCAGTTTCAGATTCTCTGTGGTATCCTGTACCCTGAGCCCCTTCTCGACAAGAGGCCAGCCCCAGGGTTGGTAGTCAGGTGTTGCTTTCAGAGGGATGGCAGGATCCAGCTTTCTTTAACTTCCTGAAGCTTCAAGGAGTGGTTGGCTCTAAATCCCAAACTCCAGCTATTTCTGTGAAGAAACGTCTCAGTGTCACAAAGTTTTTAGTTGTGCGATTCCCATTAAGTCTTAATGGTTCCCTGCTGCTAATGGCCCATGCACCCATCTGAAAAATCCAGCCTAGTGTCTCACCCCATATATGTCACTTACGAAAACATCCCAAACACTGTATACACATTCTGGGGTTCAGCTCCTTATTTCCTTTCACTTACATGTTCTACAGCAGAGGTATCCTTGGGGCCTAAATCCAGGCAGCAGTAGGAGCAAAACCCTTTGCTTGTGAGAGCCTGATGGGTGTATAACATGGTCCAGCAACATGGTGTCCTGGGGCTCTTTAGACAATGAGGCCAGATTCTCAGCTGGTGTAAATCACTGTTGAAGCTACTGGCCATTCACATCAACAGTGGCCTAGGGAAAAGCCATGTGGCTATGCGCATAGGTCATGAGTTACATGATGCCAGTGCATAAGAGACAATGACTAAGCTGCAAATAACGTCAGTTTCACATGATGGCAGACCAGCAGCAGTGTTTATTTATCCCCTCGGAAGCACTCAAAACCACTCTATCACAGCTGCCCACGGCCAGGGTTGTGAAAAGGCCCATTCATCCCTTAAGCAAGTGGTCTAGCCGTGGGAGCCAGTGCGTATAAAGCAGCACATCCAGCCTGGCTGCTGATGGGACAGTGCTCAGGTCTCCGTGGAGACAGGCAGGCTGGTGGGTGATAATCAGCCAAACCAACCAGTCATGCCTACAGGGCTATGCAGCAGCACGGCGGAAGTCAATGCTGTACGTAGAGAGACCCTCGCACAGAGCAGGACTGAGGCCTAGGCTCTCCCAGAGGCGTGAGATTTCACTGCAAGAGCAGTTCTATTTTTTTCTGAGTAAGCTTCTAGCAAAGAGACATTCAAAAATGTGAACAGAGGGCCCTTGATGCCCTCGGGCCTCCCTAAGCCTGAAGTAACAGCTCTGCAAGGGATGAATGACCCAATGCACCTCCATGCAGCACTAACTGCAACTAAAGTGGGGGGGGGGGCTGTGAACACCACCCCACGAGAGGGCCCTGTGTGTGTGGCAGAAGAGCAGTGTAGTAGGCCTGGATCCAAACAGAAACACCCCAGCTGCTGAGCTAGGTACGGGGACTCCTTTGACTGCCACCCCTGCCTTGCCCCCTGCTGTCACCCTCCGCTGCGGATTCACAGGGAACCCTCACACCATGGCATGTCTGAAGCTCCAGACTGCCTTGTTCCAGCACTGGCTGCCCATGAATACAACTAACAAGGCACAGACCACACAGTAGATCTCCATCATCATGCTTCTCTGGCATCCCATCTCCGCTCCTTTGGCTATACATGGTATGCTTGGTTGTAGGTCCTGTGGACAAGAGCACTGCCTTCTTGCTGTAACCCTGTGGGACAGGCTGTACTATACTCACTGTCCCAGAGCACATGCTCACAACATAGGGGAACATTGCAGCAGCTTTGCCTCAGTTTCCCCTCCATCTTCTATGACTTCATCCAGCCTCCAAAACCTTCTGGGCTGCTTCAGTGACTAAGCCCTCCAGCAAAGTCACATTTGGTCCCGTCTCTTCCAGGGTGCCAACACCCACAAGCTTTGCACTTAGGGTTCTTCCACCCCTGTATCCAGACACACGACAGTCCTTCTCCCCTTTGGCCACAGCAGCCCTCTCACTAGAGCACAGGAGCAGGCCTTTTCGCTGCCCATTAGCTCCAGGGGACTACAATATTTCCAGGTAAATCCTGGCCTTCTCGCAGCCCACTGGCCATGGGCTTGCGCAGGCTCCTTCCCCAGGCGTTTGCTAAAAGAGAACGAGCAGCCACACAGGTCTGTAATGGACAGACACCCTGCCCTGCCCTGCCCTTCCCCGCCCCCCTAGGATCTCCTCCTCAGCTAGCTCTCTACAGAGAGCTCTGACCAGTCACACTAACTTCCTGCCCTCAGCCAGGCTTGCCCCCAGGGGAACCAGTCACTCCACACTCTTTCCCTGACACCCCCAACTGCTGGGCTTTCTTCCTATTAAGTCCCACACACTGGCCAGGTGTGGCAGGGTGAAGCTAACTGAATGGGGCTGCCCAGCCCCAGGCCTTAAAGGGGCAGACCCCCTCGTAGCACAGGCCCACTGCCTTCTTTCCTGTCCAGCACCCCTGCGCCTACTGCTGCGTCTAGACAAATAACACATTGGTGCCACAACATCAATAACAATAAAAATCATTTAAAATAATAATGGTTGCCCTGTCCATTGGCTCCACTAAACTTCCAACAATGCACGCTGCCGCCTGAGGCCAGGTTACTGCTGCCTCGGGAAGCCCGAACGCACCCTGGTTTGGGACTATTTTGTGCCGGGGGATGATGGTGTCATTGCACAGAAATGGCTCCTGCCCTGACTCTATCCATTTTTTTGGAACAAGCCAATGACAGAAACCGAAGGAAAGCAATAGAACAACAGTCTCTGCTTTTGCCATTCGCAGTCTATTTTATTACCCAAACCCCTCTGTGAGCTGGCAGATTCATTGCGCTCTATCCTGTGACATCACGTGGAGGCTAGGCCCCTTCTATGGTTCTGACTCATGTCTGGTGGTTGTGGGGCTTGCCATATTGTGAGCTACATGGGAGCATGCAGCCCTACCACGCAATTAGTTTGATCAAGATGGGAAGGAGAGTCGCCTTTTTAAGGACTACATTATCTCTACCCCTCACGCAGCTGTGTGAAGCCAGGGAGGAGGGCCCAAGGAACTCCGAGGGCCTCACACAAAGCACAAGGACATTGCAGTCCCTGCTCTCAGGGAAGTTCAAGGACTGCTGCCTGCATCCCTGCAGCTCGGGGGTAGAAGGAATGGGGAGGGTCACAGCAAAGGAGCAGTTTTACTCCATGCTGCACTCACTGCAGGTCAGGAGCTAAAAGCTACAGTCTGGCCCAAGCAGTTCTCAGTTTGAGCCCAGTGGGAGGAGTCCCATGAGCATTGTGTACACAGTGGCGCCTAGGAGGGACCCCTCAGCAATGCTAAGGGAGCAGCCTGGCTCTGTTCAGCTTCATGTTTGCTTACAGACATTTTTCTCTGAATGGGCAGAGGACTGTGGAACCGCTGATTCATCAGCATCTTTGCTGTCTGTGGCCACTCCACGTGACCCAAGGATAATTTACTTTTCTTGGCTGCTCAGCTTGGTCCACTGCTGTCTCCATTCCCTCTGACTTCAGGGGATTTGGGTAAGAGCAAATAGCGCTGGGTATCTGGTGAAGCCGTTGAGTTAACTCTATGAGGGAAAACAGAGTGACAAATGAGTGAGCTGACTCCGATGTCGCACCCAGGGGAGGGGCTGTCCCTAAATGAACTTCAGACAGGAAAAGTTTTCTGAAATATGGCCTCATTCTCCTCTGGTCTTTCAACAAATCTCCAGGGCCCTGATCCAAACCCACTGCAGTCAAGGGGAGTCTTTCCCATTCAGTGCGGCTT